TCATTCAAGGTACAAGTTTTACAATCTGAACAGAATGAGCAGATCTAGTATGTTTAAGTGTTGTTCACCTAACGTTTCATTCAAGGTATAGAGAAGATCTTACATTTTTGTAAGTGTTTGGAATAATTAGTTTACGTAGAGTGGTGAATGTAATGTAGCCTTAGTATCACTGATCATTATAGAAGCAAGTTCCACTTAGAACTAAGTGTGAAGAGTTACGTTGTTTAAACCTTTCTTTGGTAAATTCTTATAACATGTATTATATATATATATCATATTGAAACAAATACATAATATAATGCAAAATTCCTAATAAGACAGGATAGGATAGTACTCACATCCTTGAGATTTACATTTTCTACTGGATCAAAGAAATGGTTCATAAAATTAGCCATGGCAGACCGCAGTCTAAAAACAATATGGATTCTAAATTAGTTGAAATATTTTATTTCTGAAATGCATTTTGAAAACCGGTTCAGTTATTTAAGAAAGTAAAACCTATGTTCTTAGAAGAAAAAAAAAGGACAGGGATCAAATATTAAATTTATACTTAACAGTATATTCTTCCCCGTTATTTATACATAACTTAAATATATTGGTGTGTAGATTATAGAATTATTAAATAAAACATCTAAAAACAGATGCGTACTGGAAGGTAACTTATGTTTTCAAGTATGTTACCAATTTTTTTTATTTAACTTACACAAAACTAACTTCCTACTCTCTAACACAATTAATTGACTTAAATACTCTCGACTAGTGACAGTATTTTCAAATACTCTCGATCTGTTTGTTTAGAACTTTTGCAAAACTACACAAAGAGATATCTACAGACAGTAATTTACAAACAGTATTACTATCTGTAGTACTACAGATAGTCATTTATAATTTGAAATTATACACTGAAGGGATGGAAACTAGTTTAAAATAGTGGAATTTGACTGTCACTCTTATAATACACCCATGGCTCCAAAGTTCAGAGCAAGTTTCTTGCAGCAATAAGATGCAAGACATGAACCTTTGGATGCACAGTGCAGAAACATTAACTACTAAGTCATTCCCAGCCCATAGATATTTTAAGAATCAAGATGTTACGACATATCTATACACATCTTGTTTGTTTAATAATGATTTTCTCTTCTGCACAGACAATTTGCATCATTTAAAGTATATACAACAAAGACAACCCAAATCTAATACAAC